TACACAGTTGGCCTCCGAGATCACCCGACCTAACCCCATGCGACTTCTTCCTTTGGGGATTTGTGAAGGATCTTGTCTTTGTACCACCTTTACCTACAAGTGTAAATGAACTGAAAAAACGCATTTGTGATGCTGTACAAACAATTACCAGAGATACATTACACCGTGTTTGGCAAGAACTTTCATATCGCAATGATATCATACGTGTAACGAAAGGAAGTCATATTGAACACTTGTAAACAAAAACTCACACATTTTCCCGTTATATTCGTGTTTGAATTATAATTTTCTGCGTGTAATTTTTTAAAATATAAATTTTTGAAATCGGATGATTCTTTCCGGGGAACCTTGTATTTTAACAGTGTTCGTACGATAGTATGAAGCACGCATACGATAAATTTCGGCTCAAATAAATCTTTCGTTTAAAAGCCATAAATCCGTTCGCAAAGGTCCTTTTTATATTGCTTAATTTCTATTCTGTAATAAACGTTACCGATACGTTTTCCGAGTTTTTCTCTGACACACCGCGGTTCGGTGGACATTTTTCATCTTTCTTTTTTGTATCTAATTTGTAAAACAGTACGAAGCAATTATATTATAATAAATGTGGAAAGTATAACAAATGTTACGAACGCGTCCGCGACGGTGCTTTGGTTCGCCGCACTTTTAATCTGGACAAAATGTGATCGAAAAAAAGTGACGGCACGGGAATAAAAATATAAGCGTGCAACGGCGATATAGTAATATTTCAGAACTATAGAAACACGGTAATATTTCAGCGTTTCCCGCTGCGGAAAGCCAAAAGATCGTGCTCGCGTAAAAAATTCCCGTCTGCGGGAGCAAATATGAAAGTCTCTCTCTGCCGCCCCCGTCTGACCGCAACGAACCTTCTCTACTAGCCGGCGCGCTTAATTTCTCTCGCGCCTGACTTATCATACTTCCGCACCTCTTCCCCGTTCACACATCCAATTACTCGCGGCATCTTCCAGCGGGAAGTCCGTTTTTCTGTCCGCGGGATCATAAATTCCGTGGGAAACGAGCCTTAAAATTCAAGCACCGCCTATGACGCCGTTCTCCGGGCGGATTCAATTTCAAAGTTTCGAATTCGTTTCCGACCTTGTCATCGTCTCAGGCGTCTGCGGCGAACGCGCGGATCGCGGCCCCGATAATCTGCTTTCCGTTTAATTTTTGGCTGTCGAACGGACCGCCCTCGAAACTTCCGATTCGCCGTTATTATTCCCGCGGTCGCCCCGTGCTTCTTTGCGCCCAATACCCGTGTATAATCCCGTTCGCAATTAACTTATGCAAAATCTCAGCCCGCGGAGTAATGTACTCTCTCTCTCTCTCTCTCTCTGTCGGCCGGGGATCGAAAAATCGGCCACTTTTTTTCTCGCGTCGCCGGGGAAAAGCGGCTTAGAGAACGGGATCCCGGCGCCGGTTCCGCGCCGCCGCCAGATAACGGTCGCGCCGGAAACGTTTTCTAATTAATTCCGCCCGTTAATTAGCTACGCGTGACCACGTAATTATTTGGCATTTCGCAGCGTTGCTCAATTTCCCGGACACCGTTCCCCCGATGTCGCCCGGCGCCGCGAAAGAATCGTCGGAGCGCTCTATTCGTTTCATTAATAAATTACCCAGGCGAGCACGTCAATCCTGCCGCGTTCGTCTGCGTTCTCGGCGACCTCGCGGCACGCCGCCGTTTACCGTCCACGGTTAATTAAATCGGCGATGCGGCGAAGGAAGCTTCTCGCCGTTCGGAATGGGCGGAAAGGGTAAAAGTGGTAGAAATGGTAGAAATGGTAGAAATGGTAGAAATGGTAAAAATGATAAAAACGGGACCAAGTGATAAAAACGGTGAAAATGGTAAAGTAGTGTCCGGGAATTTTTCCAGGCAAAAATAATAATCGTATCAATGTTGAACTCTGTATAATTATTCACCCTTATTTCGAGAACGCAGAGAATATTTTTCAGTAAGAACGCTTCGGTAGCTTCGAGATTATCATAATAATATAATTATATAGTATTATAATTATTATAGCCTCGAAAAATTGCTTTCCATAAACCAGGCGATGTTCCAGAATTTGTTTGTTATGAAACCAATAGACATATCAATTTCGTATTCGAATCACTTTTCACTATCTACCTCGATTATGCGCACCAATATTTTCTAACTAAAAATGCCAGTTAATTCAGAAGCCGACGTGACCGTCTTATTATTTTCCGGAAACAGGCAAAGTTTGAGAATTTTTCTAAGACGAACTGTGTTAAATGTATCGATACCAAACATCAGCAGATTATTATTTAATTGTTTGAGAACGTGTCGTATATTTTTCGATGGAATCTATCGACAGTCTCCGAAGTTACACAGCAGTTTAGGTGAACGTTAGTCGCGCACATGGTATAACCCCGCGAATGCTCAGACATGCAAATGGGCTATTCTGAGGGCGAAGTTCTTCTACCAAAAAAAATATAAAATACGAGGGTACAGTTAGGATTATAATCCGGGGGTCTGGGAAACGCGATAACGTTAAGACGTGGATCCCGATCGTCGAAAGAAAAATGATCGAAAAAGCGGAGGGGCTCCGTGGAGCAGTGTAAAAGGATTGGTAGCATTGTTCCAGAAAAGTAGCGCGTTACAAAAGGGGGCAGGAACGAAAGAAAGCCACTCCTTTCCAGATTCCAGTAAATCACGCCTTTAAATCTCGGATCAAAGTGACTGCCTTTGATTTCGAGCTTCCCCGTACCCTTCGATGAAAAGAGGGCCGGAGGCTTTTCCCGAGAATCGAATAATTAACCGAACAGGACCGGCTGTGCACTCTCTCTCTCTCTCTCTCTCTTTCTGTCTCTGTCTCTCTCTTCTCTCTCTCTTCTCTCTCTCCTCTCTCTCTCTCCACTCTCTATCTCTCCTCTCTCTATCTCTTTCTCTTCTCTCTCTCTTCCCTCTCACCTCTCTCACCTCTCTCTATCTCTCTCTTTCTCTTTTCATCCCGTCTCACCCTGTCCCCGCCGTCTTCATCCGCGATTATCGATTTATTGCTACGTCTGAGACGCTCCGAGAGGCATTCAGACGAGTTTATCATCTGGATAGCTGTTCCCGTTGATAGTTTCAAAAGCGGAGGGGTCTGGTGATGTTTATGTTTGATCAATCGTCCTCCTCTGGCTGTGTGCTCGGCTGTAACGTCGCTGCTAATAACTACTCGAGCTGTCCCAGCTCCACAGACACGGCTTTCTCTTAATTAACTTAATATTTCATTACTACCCGGGAAAACAACCGGGAATATTTATTGCCGTTAGCTGGCGTAAAAATCAGTCCCGGAACAATAATCTCCGTGGCAGTATTGTTTGTTGCAGTTGTTATTACACTGTGGATTGCTACGAAAAATAATTTTCTTGTTTAACCATTTTTTCTGGATTGGTATGCGAACGAAAAATGCAGGCTGTATATTGTTACACAGAATCAAAATTTTCTAAGGTAATTATGCGAAGCAAACATTCGATAAAAATGCTTTCCTTTTTTTAATCATTTTATTGGACTGTTAGGCACAGTAAAATTTCAGACCGTATATTGTTATACAAAATATAAATTTTCTAAAGAACTTACGTGAAGCAAAAGTTCATTAAATAATGGTTCTCTATTTTTAATAATTTCATTGGTTTGGTAGGCACACTAAAATTCCAGACTGTGTATTGTTATACAGAATAAAAATGTTCTAAGGCGATTATGTGAAGAAAAGGTTCAATTGAAATGCTTTACTTCTTTTAATAATTTCATCGGACTGTTACGCAAACCAAAAAATCCAAACTGTGTATTGTTACACAAAATAAAAATCACAAGCTCGATAAAAATGCACTTCTTCCTCCAATAATTTCAGTCATGGATTATTATGCAAATCACAATACTTCAGCGTGTACCATTATGCCGATCTAAAAATCCAGACTGTGTATCGTTAGAAAAAATAAAATTGGCAATTCTGTGGAACAGAAGTAAAATGTATCACTTTTTTTAATCGTTTTGATAAGGACGATAGAGGAAGCGGCGCGCTCGCGAATGATCGGATATCGGAAATTTCCGAAATTTCATTTTCCAGTGCAGAACGAAGTTTCGCAGTAGCGACAGGTTTTCGCAAAAAATCTGATCTCTTGGCGGCCTTAATCGCGCCCACACAGATTCGAACGGCCGACACCAGTCCGTATTCGAGGGTAAACGTTTCGAAGTGACTCCAATTAGAGGCCATTATGGTCCGGTTATTAATGGCTCTCGGCCCGTGGGCTACATGACGCGATTCCACGAAACGCGTTACGTTATTCCGGCAGATTATACACCGGCATTACTGGCTGAGAGAGAAAGAGAGAGGGAGAGAGAGAGAAAGAGAGAGAGAGTGTCGATATCATGCATTCGTTCGTGTTTCCGGTGGAATGCTGTTTGCTCTCGATCCGTGTGTACCGTATTCTGGCACAATTCAAATAATATTTTACCGTAATCCCGACGAGTTTAGGGGTTTAGACGAGATCGTACCCGTGTCTGACCACGAACGGCCCTTTCTACTGTTTCGATACCGAATCATCCGTGCCTATTTGCTTTGCGTGCAAATTCATTTCTGTTATGTGTACTCTAAATGATAACCGCTTCACGCGTGTCCCGCGTGTCATAAATAACTTCCGATGCAGCTATGTAGAATCTATTGTTCGTGTCTACCCACTACGAGTCGCCGGGGCAAACGAGTTTTTGCCTCCGCTGAATAGATAAGGGTTCGAAATAAATAAAATTAAAAAAAAAGCGAAAAGAATGAATAAAAAAGAAAGCAAAATAAATGTCCGATAAAGAAGCGGAAGTTATTCGCGACTCGACTAAATAAATACGAACGCAAATATGCTAAATCGACTTAATTTGAATAAACAGTCGAATAAACTGAATCTAATAGAAATAAATTATTGCCGAAAAACAATGTCCGTCGCCCGACGATCGAAATTGTCGACTAATTGGCTTGTAATTGTTTCAGAATGCCTAACGAAAACGCACCAGCCTGCGAGTGCGGGGTGGTGGTCGACCATCCGAAATCACGGAACAGCTCTCTGTCCGCGAAGAAGCTGATCAAGATATCGAAGTCGAAGAGCGGCAAGCAAGAGGGCCGGTCCGGCAAGAAACAGCAGGATGAGGCACGCTCGAAGAATAGAAGCTCCGAGACCGGAAGCAGTAGCTCGGTCGTCGACCAGGGAAGGCAGACCACGAAGACCAGCAAGTACGAGAAGCGTTTGAATCACTCGAGGAGGACTCGAAGCGCCGACAGGGCGGAATCGCATTACACTTACATCGGTAACCATGAAACATACTCGATTCTAACGGCGAACATACCGAACATTGAAAGGGACCGACGTGAGTTGCTTCATGAAAAAGACGGGACTCAGCTGATCCTATGAAGAATGTACCCAATCCACAAAAATTACTGTCAATTTTCAATTTATTTAGAGTTTTCGTTCTTTTTCGTAGAATCTGTGCTTGAACTGAGAAATTTATTCAACCGTGCTCTATCGGAGAGACTTATTGTAATAAAGCTAGAATTAAAAAGAAATTAATGAAATCATAAATTGTAAAATTTGGCGCAAATGGCTAGAAATCGTCGATTTTAAAATGTGGTGCTAAAGAAAAATTCTGAATATTCTATTTTCATCTTGATTTGCTCTTCTTTCTGCGGAAATGTTTTTCTACATATTCCACAAGATAATATACAATTGTTTGATTATTTCGGTTTTTGTCGAACGCTTTATGGAACACTTTATTTGCCAAAGACGCTTGTTAACAGGTTCCTTAACAATTAGACTGCGGATCTTATCCATTTGTGACAAAAATCAGTGGATCAAATGGAAAACAGCACGAACATTTGAGCCGTTTATTTTGAAAGTGGCATAAGTCACTTTTTCAAAAAAATCGAGTTAATGGTAACACTAATTACAATTGAACGGTATCTTTTCATTTAAAAAAAAAAAAAAATGTGACTTATGCCACTTTCAAAATAAACGGCTCATTTAAGCAATTTGATAATATTATTGTATTACTCGCTAAAATTGTAAAAGCATGAAATGAACGTCTATGTAGTTCCAGCATTTTGCAATTAACGACGATAATTTTTCTTCTGCATAAAAATCCGCGATCTATTAACGACTCTATATAAACGTAACTCGATAATTTTATCTGAAATTTCAGAAAAACTTGTTGCAATAATAAAAACAGTTTGTTCACTGTTAGAAAGCTGTCGGCAAATAAAGCGTCGATTTCTGGGAATAGAAATTTCCTCTCGTAAAGCGATCGTAGATCAGATATTTTGTTCACTGATTCACTTGATAAAACGTCGAAACAGGATCGCAGAAACGTCAATGAAAAATCGACATCATTTCCGCCCGTATTTCACGGTTGCAAGCGGTCTCTCAATTTCGGTAGCGAGCGTGCTTTAATGAACTTTCGACGACGCCGACGTTATTCCGCGACACTTTTATTCTGAAATTGTTTTCCAATGTTGCGTAGATTCAGGATCTAGCATACTCGGCGGAGGGATTCGAGAGGACACTATACCGGAGGCGTTGTACGCCACGATCCCAGACACGCCGAACTCGAGCGTCAACGAGATCGGAAATAGTCAATTAAACGCGCACAGCGGAGTGCGACCTTTTTACGTAGTCCCCTCTATGGTGTCGCCGCCGCCCACCTACGACGTGGCGATCTCGAAAACGTGGCAGGTTAGTGACAAATATTTTCCAGTTGTCCCGCAAACCGTGTCGAAACGGTTCCTTTGCAATTTAATCCGCAAACCCTCGTCGCTCCAAATATTATGTTTTCCGATCCGGCAACATCCAAATGAAAATGAAACATTTTATCATTTTGTTCCGAGTCCGGGGAACATTCGCTTGCGATGATTGCCTCAAAGCAAAGAAACAGAGGCAATAAATAGTCGTTAATAAATAGTATCGGTATTATGGTCGCGTTTAACGCTAGATCCGCGGATCAATAAAAACGGCTATTTTATGTTATTCCACAAATGTATTTATTCGGAATTTTAACGATTTATATTCTATTATTTGTCCCAGGTAACAAATTTATCGAATAAATTCCTCGCGAATGTATTTTTACCATCTCAATAATCGGAAATTAGCTATCGAGCTTTAAACGTGATTAATGTGTATTATTTTATAACAATAACAAGATCGGATTTATTTAAACTTCCTACGAATTTTATTACGACAAGTGTTTGAACGAAGAAGTTCGTACAAAAATTTCGGAAAAAGACATTTTTATAGTATCAGGAATTACAAATTAATTTCTTTAAATTTCTTTTAAAACATGGAACAAGATTTGACTCTTCCGTTATCAAAGTTCCGGGATGAAAGTACACGAAGACGCGCAAGAAGCAGATATCGTTTCGTTCTATTACCGTTTCGGGATATTTCGATTTGGATTCGCGAATAATTCGCACAAAATTTCGCAGCAAAAACTAGCGATTTGTTCGATCTGTCTTCCGCAGATATTATCCACAACGTCCTCGCGAATTATTCAATTACTAAAAAGCCTCGCGAATAGAACGGGAAAAAATGTCAGCACCGACTGATGGCCGGACTGGAACGTCGTGATTTACCGGCAATTTAATTCCCAGGCTGGTGTGTCGGATGTACATAAAAATTGTTCGTCGAATGAATATTCGTTGGTCCGTCGCGGCAAATAAATTTCACGGATAAATCGCGTCGCGACCGTTCGTATCTTTCCGCGTTAAAACGCGTCGCGTTTCGATCATTATTTCCAGCGATTTTCTAAAAACGACAAAAGCAGTGGGTCGGTTAATCGTCGAGCGTGTTCGAGATAGCGGTAACCTAGAGAGGAAAAATGTAAACGGTAATAAAAGAAGCTCGAATCGCGGAAATAAACGGAGAAGGAAGGCGGCAAGCGCGAGCCCGCCGCCGTCCCGAATTAAAATATAACCGGGGAATCCATAAAATCGATGTTACCCGGCAATCCCGTGGCCGTTCTAATTCCTCGATAATTGCGAGCCGAACTTTTTCTCCTGCCACAACAAGAATCCCGCTATTCGTTTTCCTCCTCGGCGGTCTCTCGCGAGCCTCGATCACGCCCGCGATCGTCTGCGATGAGAAAAGGGATTCCTCGTCGAGAGGTCAAGGTGAACGTGAAAATAATCGACGCGCTAATGAATTTTATAATTTCGTGTGCACGGTCGCGCCAGTATCCCGGCTTGTTCCGAGTTCAAAAAGATTCTCGTCGACGGCGGAGGATTCGCAGAAAGGATTTTCGCGAGCGTTCCAGCGACCACTCCGGCCGCGGCGAGATTCCTCGGTCATTCATTAAACGTAAAAAGGAAATTGGAGCGGTGATCAGCGAGGACAATGAGAATTGAACGTTCCGCGGACCCCGGCGAAGGTCAATCGGAATTCTTGTTCGACGGAGATTCGACAGGAGAGGACATCGGATTCGAAACGGCAACGAAAACCTTCATCGAACGCTCCGTCTAATGCTTTCAAATCAATGCGAAAACTCTGCTGGATGGTTTCTCTCTGCGTCGATAATTGGAATTCCTCGGCTCTGTTGATCGTTTTCTGAGAAACAATTGTGTACCTTTGAACAACGCGTTACAATGGCTGTTTAAAAAATAATGGATACGCGCGCGTCGATATTTCAGTGCTTAAAATGAAATTAATAAATGATGCTTTTGCTTAAAACGAAATTAATCAATTATGACCGCAGAAAGGAAATAATAAATGCGCGTCCGTTGATTTTATACCGCATGAAATTGAGTTATTGTGTCTCTTAGCGAGTTCCAATGAAGTCGAATTAAATTATTCGAAATTTTTAAGCAATTGTTTGTATTCGTTTCGCGATTTTATTTGAAACGGGCGTTCTTTAAAATATCTTAACAATCTAATACAACAAGGAAATGTGCAATAATACAATATAAGAATTTTAAGTTTGATCAAGAAATGCGGTATAAAAATCCGAAACATTTTTCATGTTCGATCAAAAAATGTGATACGAACTGTCCAATTTTTTGGGGGGAATTTTTTACGAGAAAAGTTATGAATATGCAAAAAAAGTTGTACAGCAATATAATTACATTAAAATTATGTTTTGTTGTTAAAATATTTCATAGTTATTAAAAAGTCCCAATGAGGATTGTGGCAGGTTGCATGAATAAAAGAAAAGAAAAATTTTATTGTATGAAAAACTAAAGACCGAGTAAGTAACACATAGTTACTATAATCTCTAAATTATGCTATTTAATTATAATATAAAAATCAAAGCAAAACTATCATGCTTCAAGTATGATAATTTTGTTGTGTTCAACTTAAAGATGATTTCCAAATTTGTTCACTCTGAATTGAGAAGAAACGAAACCCAAAATACACACCGTCTGTTATAAACAATATTCACATATAAAATAACATTAAACTGTCAAACGCATCGGATATATTCTTCGCGCCAAGTGGTGTACGTAAAATTCCAAAATCCCTAAATGAGAATCGTCGTGGCATTTAATGTGTTAATCGAAGAATGCGGTATAAAGTCCGATGCGATATAAAGCTTTTCAAGTCCGATGTGAAAATCGCTGGTACCAGAAGGTCCATTGTCCAAATAAAATTCGGGAAATGTTATCGTCCCAGGAATCTGGTGCACTCCCGTTGCTGCACGACAAAAGTTACGAGATTCGGGGTAAACTGTATCGCATAAATGCTGAAGGGCGCGAATATAACGTAGAAAGGGAAGAACATTCTTCGATCCCGGGCGTTAGGCGAGCTGTTGTGTAGAACACAGCAGGCAAATTCGAGCCACTCCCGGACTCGAGGACCACTTTGCCTCTGGCTCGGCGTTTCGCATAGTTCTGCGGCGCCGAGCGACACATAAATTTCCGAGGCACATCGCGCGGTGGTTCTTGCCCCTCCCCCCGGCCCCTCCGACGAAAAACACTCTGACCCCGCACCCCTCGCCCGGTGTCGACCCACTTGAAAGTCCTGGTAACGATGCCAGGACTCTTCGAATTTCGCTGAGCTCGTGCCCTCCCATTCCCGACGCGTTTTGTCCACCGCTACATCCTCGGTATCACTGTGTAATTTAGGCGGGCCACAGATTTCTCGCCGCGACAAAAAAAAAGTCGAGCCGCGCGACAATTCGCTGGGAAACAGCCCCGACGATTTTGGCACCTGCTCCTTCAATCGAGCTGGAGACAATTCTTTCAACGTTCTACGAAATTGTATTCTGTACTGTTCATGTTCTTACCCTTCGGAAAGCTATAGATTTATGTGATAAAATATAATCGTATTATCACGCGTGCCGATCGATACTGTAGAAGTTAAATTACTCGCTGTAATATTTATATAAAGTTATACTAATAGTATACACATATATAATATAATACAATACAATATAATACAATACAATACAATACAATACAATACAATATAATATAATATAATATAATATA